CTCAGAAGCATTAAATTAAGCAGCACATCTGTAAGCCGAGATGGGACGACGGGACCCAAATGCCATCTCTACCGGGGAGCACATTGGAAACCCTTTGATTAATTTGGCCTCTCAGAAAGTCCCTAAAAGCAGCATAACTTTATATAAAGGTTTAATTCGTATTATTGGATCATTTTAATGAGTTATCAACTTGGTTCGGATTGTGGCTTTGCTGGAAGGAGTGTGCCAGGACACCAAAGCCAGTGTTTTTAACGCTGGTTTGTGTCTCCGAGTTCTGGGCAACCCTTTAATCAATTGGACAGTTTAAATACTAAAGTTATATTCATATTAGATCATCTTTGCAAGCGCTACTGCCTACCCCACCTCCTCCCCCATTACAGACAGACAGATAATTTAAAACAAATAACGTATATGTCATCAAAACTATAAATGTATTGTTTTTCTGAAAACTTGCATCGTAAGAATTGAAATGTATCTGTCACTGGCTGATGTCAACTAAATGTGACGAACACATCAGAATTCCAGCTTGACCAGGTTGTATACCTCTATACGCTGAGCTTCCAACAAAAATTATCAAAAGCCAGGCCAATATTTATAATAAACATAATAATCATGATGCTGTTCCATACCGTATGACAAATGTTCGGGGCTGTGTTTATTAGCTCTATTCAAGTGGAATTTCATAATTGTTGCATGAAGCATGAAACCGCACTGCGATAGTCCATCAGCCACCACAAAATGGTTCTTTAGGGCTGTTGACCTCTATTTGTGGGTCAGTGCCCTGAATTGAGAGCCCCCCTAAGTGGTGCCATATACAAAGCATTAAGAAATGTGCCATCTAAATCAGCAAACTGTTAAGCGCATAATGTCTCCTGAATATTGATCCTGTTCACTTGATATGCTTAGCTATTTCACAATTATAAATATCACAAATTGAGCTGCAATGAACGGACTTTAGATCTATTTTGTATGACGCACTAAGCACGAGCAATAACGATCTGTCAATTGAAACTGCAGCACTGCTTAAGTAGAAATTCTGTGTTGTAATTTTGAAGTGTTTGCTGCGCACTCGACCTGAACCCTGCTAACACTGAGTGTGTGCTGAAACTTTGCACGTGGCATTTGTTTTCTATTTTTTAGACACCAGAGGTGCAGGACATTGCCCGTGCTTCTTTTAAGCGTAAGGGTGCAACCCTGTAATTGCTTGCACACTCCACTGCTGGCGCTGATGGAAGTGCCTCCGCTAGAGTGAGCTCTTAGAAAACCCTTCTAGACGGTATTTGGCCTACTCTTCACCTCGGGTCAGACGGTTGGAAGTGGTAGGGGTACCCCCACTTTATCCTACTACACACGACATCCCGACGATCAAATAACTGTGTCGACAGAGGAATTTTAAAAAAAACTTGCACCATTGTTTCAACTGCCACACCCGGAGATCGAATCGGCGACCAGAAGATTGTCTCCTAACCATCGCAGCATCCGAGTAAGCGCAAGCTCACGGATTACAAAATTAGAGCAAATGCATTTGCTATACTGGAGTATAGTACAGCAGAAGATCTCAGCCCATCTCAACAAATCACTTAGAATTTTGTTCCAGCATGCATAGGACTAGCTGAACATATAATTATGGTAATTTACACAGGGCTATAATTTTTGTCATAATAACAGCTTTTAGTGTTTATTTTTGTAATTATACAAATGATTAGTACAACTGCTACACTCTACTGAACTATTTTTGTACAACCAGAGCTTTCTTTATATAAAGATTACGATGTTGGGTATCTGATCACAAAGCATACGGTGCCTCAACTATACTCAAATAGGAACAAAATATATTAGCAGAACATTTTTCTCTGACATATATCTCTCCACAAGAATAAGTATGGTTTGCTTCATATGTTCAAATATATATATACATATGTCTCTCGTACAAGCAAACTAGAGTTTGGAATTAGACTTGATAACTAGTTTATTGTACAAACTACAGTTTGCTTCTACTGAATCAATGCTCCTGAAATTATTTACTCCTGGAAGGCCGTGAGGTCAATGGGTTGTGGAAGGAATTATTTTACGTCTATTTTATCTGGAGAGACAGCTATGTGAAGGAAACGTCCACTTATCTATTTTTTTTTATATTCTCAACAAAGGCGCTGATGAATATTTTGTGTTGCGAACTATGAAAATCCATGTTGGACATTTTTGTCTCACTTGTGGCATTATAAAAAAAAAGTTGTAGTCTGTAACAGACGATAATTATTTATTTATATTATGATTCACAAATGCTTTAAGACATTTTTTTATGTATGTTACATCCATAAAGTTAAACCAATTATCATTCCGTATGTTTGCACATGAGAGGAAACTGCTGTACACAGAGAAATGTCACATACTCTGGAGAAGCACATTTCACACAGATCAGTATCGTACTTGTTACACTACCTCCCACAGGCATCTCACTGCCCCCTTCCCATCATCTTATTCTAACTTTGAGGCACCGAGCCTAATTCCAAGCCACTGGAATGCATGTGGACAGCCACGCTAAATCATAACCTTTTTAACACAACCTACAAACGCAGACAAGTACATTGTAGCACAGTAGAATCGAATCAAATATTAATATGCTGAAGTGCATTTGAACATGCAGTGTATAGCTCATTACTTGTCAGGACCAATCAAGCTATGTGAGATGAAAACTTTAATCAGTGAGATACGACATCAAGCGGTGAACTCCTTTGTTTGCCGATGCCGGTGCTTCTGCATTTTGCTGACGAGCACGTGTTTTTTAGCAGTGTTCATCCTGGTGCAAGGTTACAGCTCAACCCAAATGTCATTGTGTAGCGACTAAATAGCGAAAGTGTTTTTAAATGTACCACATTTCAATAACAAAGCTTTGTAATTTATATCAAATTATTGTATTATATTTTAAGGGATGACCTGGTGGTGCAGTTGTTCGCCCACTGCGTAATGCATCCAGTCACCTGATATAGATTCATGGCTATGTTTTGTGCCGCCATGGTGGCGAGATATTAACTATCTCGCCTGATAAGCAGGGCGTCGTGGATTCGATCCCAACCCTGACGCCTTCTGTATATTAGAAGTTTGATTGTTATATCCCCCTGATCGTGTGGATTTTTCTCCAGGTTCTCCGGTTTTCCCTCCACATTTAGAAACATGCTTTTAGAATATTCGGTTCCTATAAATTTTCACTTGATAAGCCACTTTGTTGAGCTATCATTTGTGGCCAGGTTGCTTCTGAAAAAGAGCTATATAGCTGAAGTGGGCCTTATCTGGTTAAACAAAAATAGTTTAGTTTTTTATTTATTCATTCACGTTTCCGGCACATGGTACACATTGAACGCACTACCCGGCGTTACAGGTCGTAAGTGTCCTTAATCACAGAGCTTATAGTTGCCGTTTTTTAAGTTTTGCAGATATTTTCTGGTAATGTTGATAACATTCACATCGCGATGGATTCTCCGAATTTTAATTGGAACTGTGCTCTTGGCCATGGTTAGAGTGAGTAGCGAGTGATGCCTGAACTGGTCATGAGCCCTCCTGCACTAAGCCGCACTGACCAGCGAGGCCAACCAACCCTCATGGCCAACATGGCGTGGGGATGCCTTCGTCCGGCAGTGGATTGACGAAGGATGATAAAAACACTTTTTTAATTGGAATACACCTTTATTTTACCGTAGTACCTGAGCAAACATGCTGTTTTTAAAACTTTGATTGGTAATTGTATTATTTTTTAAACGCATTATTTATCAAGGTAGGACTGCATTATTACCCTGATTCCCCCGGTTGGCTACTTACAACGCAAGATAAATTTACTCAAATTTACATACTCATGGCATGCTTTTATATCTCATGATATATAAAACACCCTTGCCGTCTCCCCAATCTGCTTAGCTAATTGTCTTAGAGGGCAATACCATTATGCAGCCCCATATTATAATTGTGTCATTCTTAACATCAAGAGCAATTCTTTGGTTCTTTCGGTAAAGTCACGTATAAAGAAAACATAATAAATTAAATAATAGCATACGACGTTTCGATTGCAACACAAGCAATCGTCATCAGGTATAATGAAATAGCGACATAAAATCTAACCAGAAAAAATTATAGACAGACATATAAGCAGACAGATATCACCAAGATACGCAGAGCGGGCAACACAGATATGCTCTGCGTATCTTGGTGATATCTGTCTGCTTGAGGCTCCTGGATGAGCTGTCAATGAAGAGGCGCCACTCATTCTGGTTACAGGCGATTCTGATTGCCTCGAACAGACTGGTCACATTGTGGCAGAAGCAAAGCCCATCTTAATGGGTGAAGAAGCTACTAAAAGGTTGTTTACGCTTCCTCTGATCTGCGACTTGCACACTTTCATCCAACAAGTTCCACTGATTGTGCCTAGACGTCAATAGCTCGGCATTGGACTTAGTGAGACCAAGATCTCTGATTAAGTCGTTGAGGTCTTTTTGGTTGGGGTCGTATGGGTTTCTTTCCTCAGCTCCACCTCTGAAATTGTCATCTGGATCTACAACATCTTCCTCGCTCTCTGACTTGCTGCTCTCTTCTAAAGACGGCTGCTCTCTCTCCGGATGAGTGGGTATGGGGAGCTCATGGCAGTGTGCCACCGCGGCGATGGATGAAGGAAGGTCCGGATACGTGATAGCAGGTGCATTCTTGCCAGTACGACGTTTGGAAGGGTTCACCATGCAGAAGTAGCAGTTGCTTGAGTGACCAGTGGGTTCCCGCCAAATTATTGGGATAGCGAACTTCATGGCTCTTTTTTCCCCTCTATACCATCCTACAAAAATACATTTATTTCACTCATGACTAATGTGTAAGAGATTTTCGCAACATTTTTCAAAAAGATATATTTTTTCAATAACATTGAAAATTGTAAAATACTTTTACATTAAAAACTTTTACAATGTTAAAAGTTTTAACAAATTTTATAACATTAAATTCCGAACAACAATTGCCCATCTTACCTTCCAGAGATTTTTTGCAATGCTCCCAGGTGACATTAGGTGCCCAGGGTTTGTCTTGATCCCCAACAGGCATGTCAAAATATGCCTCGTAGGCCTCACACATCTTAGCTTCCACGGAGTACTTTTTCACTCATGCCTTGATAAATTGGCCGCAGACATAGTAAAATACGTCTGCCGGATGCTTGCGGCCTCTTGATGCTATCTCAAAAAAATGCAGATATGTATCCACTTAGGCAGCTGGAACTAAACTGAACTGGTGGACTTAAGGCCGCTGTATTTATACTATTTATATTACTGAAAAGTTCTAGAATGTTCTAGAAGTTACTCCATGTTTACTCAGCACTGAGTCTATCTGGAATGCTCTGGAAAATAGGTAAATTTCTAAATATCACTGTCCTGGTCACAAAAGAAAAGTTTGTGTGGAATAATAGCCATTTTCTGTACTTTTGAGGCATACGCAATTAGGAAATAACACTTGTAATCATCAAAACAAATGCACATGATTATAATCATGGGGTTACTCTGTGAAAACATTAAAGTGTAGGCAATGTTTTCATGAGTCCACATTAAGACATATAGTAAACGTAGCTAAAATATATTTAAAAGTTAATCCCTAATTGCATATCAAACAGTTTTTGCATGTAAGAGTACTTTGACTTTGCAAATCAAAGATTCTTGACAGTTTTTTTTATTTGCAGAATTATACTACCCATGCAGTCAGTCATTATTTATATGTTTAAGAAATACATCTATTTTGAAATCAGGGTTCATTTCTAAGTTCTTTACATCCGACTTATGATAAATCAGTGGCTGTGGTTGCAAACTTTTGCATACGTTTATCGCAACGGTTAGTGTGATCACACACCAAACTGATAATCACTGGTTACACACACGCTAATGTAAGATGATAACAGAAAAAATACTCTGATTATTGCTGATGTAGCAGCAAATTTTTGCAAGAATATCTGCAGCTTCACAATCATGCCACCTGTGTAGCCCAGGAAATGTATTGTTTGAAATTGTCATTTGAGTTACATATCTCCAAACCTGTCCTGTTCCATTTATGACACTGCATTGCCAAATGAATGAGAACATTATCATGCTTGGCACAAGCCTATCATTTGCCTTTTCACCACAATTTGCAAAGAATATTGTGAATTCATGCGTCTAATGGCAGTCAGGTTATGCCTAACCAAATGTATAATTTGTTGTCAAAAGAGCTATTTGTAAATGATATATGAGCACCACAGGAAGGAGGTAATTCTGCGATAATGCTGATCTGTGATCCCGTGATGCTTTTGTGAGAGCAATTGAATATGACATCTCTTGTAATTGTAAGTAACACTCACAATATAATAATTCAAATGAAATGTGTTTTTTGTAAATGTTTAAAACTAAAAGTGGTCATTTGGACATTTCCAAAAAGTGTTTTATTTCTAATATAGTAAAACTACTCTCATCTGTGACCATAATATCCAAGATTTAGTTTTTATCCACAGCCACGTTTTGGGGGTTGAGGCACCACGTGGCAAATGTATCATATTATTTACAATGGATGTTGCAGTTAAGGGAAGCTATTTTATGGATATACACAGATAACTGGAAAATTAGCACAGATAAAATTAGTTTAACTAGATCGTTAATAAAAATTCACGTAGCGATGCACTCTTCTAATTTAGTGTGCGTGCATTTCTACTTTCGTTAGATGGCTCGATTCACTCATACCTGTTAATTGCCTGTTAGGGGTTTACTTAGGTCATCCTTTCGTCAATGGTCATAAAAACTAATACCACTTCGCGCGAAGTTACCACTGACCATCCTATGAAGAGGATGCCACCCACCATGGGAATGTGAAATTAACATCTTTGTTCAGAGCTGCCAGCGGCAATGCACACATTCCCTGCTTGCTTGAATAGGTAGACATAATGGGTTCTCCATAATAGAGGTTTTTTTGGGTTAGATCGCATAAATATATAAATGTGTCGTTAAAACCCACCACCACCCAACACAGCCAACTAGTAAGGGTCGTCACATTAACAGAACATGCTAATTCGCCACTAGTACACCACACCGGTGTATTGTAGAGCCAAGGCACAACATTTACAATCTGAGTACGACGTTTCGCCAGTAATTACAACTAGCTCCCTCTATATAAGGAACGAAACAGACTTCTCCACAAATCTGGCTATCGCCAGCTGAAGCTAGTTGTAATGACTGGCGAAACGTCATACTCATATTTAATTACATATTTACGCGATCTAACCCAAACGACTTCTGTTATGGATAATATTGGTCGCGAAAGCCTACATGTTATAATGGGTCATATTCTTATCTTCCGATATATTATTTTGAATGTATATAGCACCTGAATATAGCTGCATCTTCACATATTGGAATGATCCTAAATGTAAAGTATCAGAGAGCCTCAACTGTATTGTTTTAAATGCATATACTATGAAAAGCTCATCACATCTATAAAAAAAAAATTGTCTGTTTGTGGGTTTGTCTGTGGGTTTGTGTGTGTTTGCGCGCTTGCGAATGATTTGCCTCTCTAACGGTGGGGTTTATGTTAAAAAAATTTTGCCAGGTACAGTACCACGCTATAAGCCCCGCGGTGAGCAAGCGCTATTCCTTTTTCACATCCGTCAACTTTAAATTAGTTTAATTAGCGATTTAGTGCGATTTTTGTGTGCTTCCCTTTTATTTATTTATTTATGACGCGTGCACGGTCATACTAACTCACGCGTCTTTGGTGCGGGGGACGGCCCATGCCAAGTCGCACGCCTTCGGTGGGAGTGAGGGGGATATTTGATTTCGCGTAAAAAAATTATAATAAATACACTAAACGCTGACGTTAATTCTTCACTGTGTGATGTCCCCCCCACTCCGATGCGTGCAGTTATTACTACTATACACTCGCTAGATGGAGATCGTGGCCGGGGGGGGGTTAGGGGTAGCAGCCAAGCCCCAGCCTGCCAAGATGCCACCTCGACCGGCTGGACAATCTAGGTGAGGCCGGAGGCTCTGCACGGGACTAGGCCTCACCACGCCACTCTGTCAGGTGAGTACTTTGTGCTATACAGTCGATAAATACTGCTATAGAGTCAGCATGTACTACTATAGTGATAGCAGGTACCACCACGGTCGGTATTCACTGCTGTAATCATAGCAGGTACCATCACAGTCAGTATGCACTGCTGCAGTGAAAGCAGGTACCACAATATGCACTGCTGTAATCATAGCAGGTACCACCACAGTATGCACTGCTGTAATCATAGCAGGTACCACCATAGTCAGTAGTAGATACAACTGACTATTGTATGTAGGGTGTGTAGGCAGATACTACTGACTATTGTATGTAGGGTGTGTAGGCATATATGCCTACAATATATATTTTTGTGGTGGGGGAGTCGACGATATTTGGAAACCTGTTGGATCAACTTTTTACCCCCACATCTGGAAAGGGAGGGGGTCCACTTTCTATAACTTCTGAAACGCTCTTATAATTTAGTTGACGGACAAATGGACAAGTTGACACACGGAACGCTGGGCTTCTATAATATATGGTGCTGGCACACAATGGCCTACTCTTGCGATAAATGTCAATTGTGAAGCAAGACGGGCATGCATTTTCTATGGTTAATACACCCGCTGCATTTATCAGGGCGGCCGCTGAATTCGAACCGCGAACCTCTGCAACAAGTGGGGAACTCACTAATACTTGACCATTACGCCCTCAAATACTGCAATGTAACATAAACATATCAAATTATGGTTTCGGAAACAGTCCTTCCAACGAAAAAAAGAACATATTTGTAAGATGTTAAATGAAATTACGCTGATATCTCCACCACCATTACTGAGGCACCCTTTGACTTTTGAATAATTGTAGATATAGTTATATACTGAATATATAGCTGCAATGTATGGGAAAATATAATACAAACTCAGTGATAATAGGATGAGAACACATCATGTGAAGGCGTCTATCACAAACGTTTAGCCTCAGAGTAGAAGTAGATACAAGGAGGCACTAATACCATTGAACATAGCTGAATTATTAGAGTAACAACTTGCTCCTTGGCAGGTGAAGGTCTACTCCTGTACGAGCATAATGCTTTCACGTAGTCTGTTTATTGACTGTGGTCACGGCTATTGCCATATCTGGCATTGTGCATCTATTGAGCGCTTAACGTGATGCTGGTGATGAAATCATAGCGAATAAGGTGCTGGGGATAAAGTACCCCATGTAATGCATTGCAGCAGCCCCATTATGAAACCTGTGGTTAGAACCCCCAAAGAGCAGAGCTCTCATGCCTTTTAAGAAAGCAACTTTGCTGTATTAACAGATGATTGTTGTGATTTATCATTTGGTTGTCAGGGGGATAAAAACTTTCACCTGCTTAAAACAGTACAGGGTGATAATACTTCGTATAAAATATTGATGGATGTATTGATTTCAGTGGAGGAAAGCTGACTGCTTTACCAGGTATGGTGTCAGTATTTCTTTATGCATGGCAGCATCGTGACATACAGCTAAATATAGCCATAAATTATTTAACAAGTTAAGTTATGACTCATAGGTTCCTAACTCAATCGATTCTATTTACGGATTCCAATCTGATGATAAAAAAAAACTCGGGTTTTTTTCTGAGCTGCTTTAACTTGCAGAGAAAAAAAATGATACAATATATATGGCTTATTCTGAGCAAATTAACAAGATGAATACATTTTATTTACATTTTGGAACAATAATTTAACTCAGCACACCTTCACTCACCTCTTTGCAACATGGTGGCGAGATGTTAACTGCCTCACCAGGTATACTGGAGGTCGTGGGTTCAATTTCGACCCTGATGCCTGCTGTATTTTTAAATCCTTTATATTAAGTTCACTTGCGCGCTTGCTTGCTTACGACCGTGCAAATCCTTCGGTCGTTTTTTAACCCACTTCCCGTGATCCAATCGAGCTGACATTTTCCACACAGACTCGTTGTGCGTGACAATTACTTTTCGCGAATTTTTTTTTCCAAAATTTTACACTTTTTAGGGCAAAAATATTATATTTAATTACCAATTGCTTAATGGTTGCATGCAATCATCTGACTCATAGGTGGCAGCCATCTCAAGCCAGAGGACGAGAGGACTCTAGCCGCCACGCATATAAAGGATTTATAGTGAAAAACTTTGTTTTTACGGGTTAATTTTTTTGAGTTTG